TAAGCAAAAAATAACAACACGAGAATGGAAAAAACGGAATTCTTACCAAATGCTGAGTCCTAGGAAGTTAGTCCAAGAGTACAGCTAGTCTCCACCCACAAAGATGCCAATATAGGCTACTGCAACATTCTAGAAATTTAATTTTTATTCAGGTTAGTGATGATCTTGTTAGCAGAAACCGAACAGATACAAATGACAACTGTTCACTGTTTCATTTTTGTTTATCACTGTGTCAGTGTGTTCTTACCTTTATTGCCCCCACTACTGTGGTAGTGAGCGCTGAGTTATAATAGCTGCACAGGACTATGGAATACATCAACACAAACCTGGGAAAACAGAAGTCTTTAAAACCTGGGTAGGCTGAGACAGTAATGTAAGAGCTATGGAAGCATAATTTGTAGAATATTAGTTTGTTGTTGGAGTTTCCACAAAGATGTGACAGTAACAGTTTGAATTTAGCTAGAGTGACATACCCCATGAAACAGGACATAAGGAAACAAATGATGAATGTAACATTGACCCAGTCCTCAAATAAAACTGCCTGTGGATCAAAACATACAAGGTGGTCAGGCAGGAAAATCACACAGTTTTGGGCAAAAATGTCAGAAACTCAGTTACTGCAGGTACCTCATGTAAATCCCCAGTAGATGCACTCGCCAAGAGAGTAGGGATGATAATGATTAGTGCATTGTAAAATAAGACACCATATTTTCCAAGGTCCTTCACACACAAAAAAAAAATAGATTAGATATTATGACAGTACACTGTCTCAATTTGTACGTGATGTGCAATGAAAGTTACCTCAATGCCAACTTTCATTTTGGTGTACACATTGTTGGCAGCAGTGAAGGCATCATTGAGCAGGATGAAGGTATAGGCCTCCATGTCAAAGGCCAGGTCAGAACTAGAGGAGAGGGAAATAAGGAAGCAAAGCACAGGTGTTCTGTCTGCACTTGGTTTAGTTCTCAAGCAATCTCTCAATAATTCCAAAAATCCATACCATGCAGCAACCATGGCACCAAGGACTATGGCCAAAATACTGTACACAAGGCGTCTTGGAAATGTTTTCCTGAAAGACAAACTCTGAAACATTCAGATCAAAAACAAAAAAGTGGGAAGGAAGAAACACATGTCAAAGTACTGTACAACAGTCTTTGGCATTAATAGATCACATGTAGCTCTTCCATATTTTACATCTGGCGTTTCACCCTGCAATGAAACCTCCTTTAATCCATATAATATGTAATGTCTTTCAGATCAGATCTGTCATAAATCTGATCAGGGCAACTGTGATATAAAAGATCTAACAGAAAAATGCATCTTACCTTAGTACATATATTTCCAACATCATTGTCATCAGTATGGTGAACTTCCGTAAAACTGTAAACATTGGTAAACTGCAGAAGACAGCATTTTTTGGGGGGAGGGGAAGACCACATGAGTAAGCACAGTGAAACTTTAGAATGACAATGTATTAATATACATAATGGCCAAACTGATTAAACCTGAGCTTTTTGGTGCTTGCCAGTCCTGTTACATGGTTCCCCACATACAGCAAAGGAAGAGGGAAAATCTGAAAAGAAAATAAAGGCACATTTTGGAAATTAAAATACATACAGCAAATAATAACAAATAAATTGTTGAAAAAATGAAAAATGCTTACTTTTAAAAGAACATTTCTGTCCAAATCCTGAAACTGGACCATCTTGATCTTTTTGGCAGCATAAAGGATAACAATTGTGGTGGTCATCTGAAAGGACCAAAGTGACCGTGAAGTCAGCGTGCCCTTGTGCATGACAAACAGGAACATGGGGAAACATATCCACAGCTGGACAACTTACCTGGCCAATTCCCAGAAACATGTAGGAGGGAAAGCTGCAAAACCAGCACATACACAGTCGATCAGAAATCACGCTTAGTGAAAACACTGAGTTTGAGAACCCTGGCCTGAGGTAAAATCTGTGAGTGTTCATTTGCAGAAACAGAGATCATGTTGACCACTTTACCTTGGGAGAAGATCAACATCCCACTTGTGTATTTGTTTATTTCCTAGGGCATGATCAATCAGTGATCAGTGTAAAGATAGAGATAATATAAATTCACCCAAATTATACAAAAGAATATTTTTCCCAAAGTAAGTGTTGTAATACAATCAGCAGATGGCCATTACTGTATGAAGTGATTTTGGTGACACTACAGTATATGAATGAAGTTAATGAATATTTTTCTCAAAGGTTATTGAATATTTTTGTATTAGGCCTCTCTTTTCAGTGTTGCACTTTGTAGACGGTCCCTGCACACTGAGTCCTATGTTATTTGTCTGGCTCATTTTGATTAAAATGAGGTTGTAGCTTGTTGTCTACACTACTGTGAAACAAAAGAGGCGTCGTTTATATTTTAGCAACGTTTCGCTGTTGATCCGGAAGCTCCGAATCTGTGAATATCTTTCCAACTTTACCGATGTCAGCCACTGTAACATAACGTTGTCAGCACGCTGTCCGACAGTTGTCACCACCTCCGTGTCTGGGAGCAAATATTACATCTGCACGTAACCGGAGCTTTAGATCGCCCCTCCCTTTCACTCAGTCAGATAATGTGCACGGCTTTGCTCAAATATTGGTAGAGACACTTCCGTCCTCCAAAAATACTGATATGGGGCTGTGACTAAAACTACGCCCTTGTCTTGATCACAGATATTTACACTAGATGCCGCATGATCCAGTTCTGCCTATTATGTCAACACGTCATCGCGGCCGCCATGTTCCCAGGGGCGAGGCTGCGTCTCCTAATGCCTGTCTGTGTATGAGAGCAGAAGGTCTGTCCACACTAAAATCATCATAATTCGCTGAATTTACCGCCGATTTTCCAGCTGTTTAGTTTGTTACAAACCCCAGAGATGTACCTATGATACAGGATGTTTGCTTAAAATAAAAATCCGGAAGTATCCAAATACTTCATCTTTTGCAGATTGTAACAAAATATTTTATAATATAAAACGCACCTCGTAATTATTAAAAAGTAACGATCCTGCCACCCATCTGTATTGTAAACTGGCTGCCATAATACATAATAACAACAAATACTAAGGTGAAAACAATCTAATCCATGTTTTGGCAGGCTACACAATTGTCATTTTAATTACATTTCTGGTGAAATCTTCATAATTTCCTCATTTATGTTTTATTTCACTCTGTTTATGAACAATGTTTACAAACAATATGCACTGAAACGGTTGTGTAGAGTTGCAATTTAACAGCTATACAGTATATACTGATAAACCAGTCTTACAGTTGTGTGCATCAAAAAATGACTCAGATGTGCACTTCTACTCTAAATAATTTGCCAGTGGCACTAACTGTGCACAATGCAAATAATAATGAGTACACTCCATCCTTTAAACACGTTGTTTGTTCAATCCTGTTAGTGTGTTTAATGACAGCTGCAGACAAGTGAGCAATCACTGGGCTCTACGTCCTTTCTCCTCACTGCTACTGTCCGTACTTTGTACTGTACTTGTCTGGAATCTATACACACATTACGTAATTCTGTGTGCTTGTATAGCTAACGTTTTAATACAGACACAGTTTACGATATGTAATGTTAGCGCCACGAAACAGTTTAAAGTACACAGTTTAGGTTTATGGCCAATTGAAACATACAATTTCCAGTATCTCACTGGTGTATTACTTAAAATATACAAATAATTATTTCTTCACCTGATCGTTAGCTATCTTAACTTATAAACATTAGGAAACTTAGTTGTAATACATGAATTCATCACTTCTTATATGTGAGATGTTATTCCCTGTTTTCCCTGTTGCTTAGTTCTGTTTTTTTCCTGTTAGTTTTTTAGTTTGTTGTTTGTTTTGATTAGAGCATCAAACGCACCACATTAGTGCGGCTTTTTCCACTACTAAATCTGGCCAAAACGCCCAGACGCCCCTAGCAATATGGCGGCTGGTCAGACGTTTCTCACAAGCCCCCGATGCAGCATCCAGACTTCACAATGACATTATAAACTCCCTATGTGTGTGGTTTCTCCAAATGTGAACGACTTGATGAGAGCAAGAAAAAGCGCCACCTACCTGTAACTCGTCAACACGGTTTTATTCACCACCGTGATGAGAAGCGAGCTGCATGCGTAAAACATAGCAGACAAAAACTTTAGCAGTCCAGAGTGTTCAACGGATTCTTGACAGGATTTCGACATTGTCAGGCAATATAAAGACAACCGTAACAGTTTAAAATATATACATATATGATGTATAATTCCTGGTTTGGTGGCAGGTTTCGCTGGTCTTTCCTAACAACTACTTGTGAACAACATCCTTATAGGAAAGACACAGGTGGGCGGTGCTCACTCTGTTGCATATTGTATTTCAGGAAGAAGAATCAGGCTGGTCCTCTGTCAGCCCTTCCTGATTTCATTCTTATTTAAGTTGGCAAGGCTACTACCACTTCATGTTTAAATAAAGTAACAAAAAATACAATAATATAAAATAAAACATTTCCATAAAGCATGTATTTTCTAGATAAGCAAGCTAGATGTAGTTACATAATTTCAAAATAAAAGTATTTAATAAAGCTATTTATTTGGCAGAATTACAGTGCTAAGGATGTTTTAAAAATAAAGTGCAATACCATAATGTACAAATACCTTATTACAAGTAAAATGCTTGCATTCTAAACTGTAGGCTATATACTAGGAGATTTTAGCAGTACATGCCAACATTTCATCAAAAGTTTTCAAAGTAAAAGTATTTGTTCTAAAGAGTGAAAAAATAAGTAAAACCTTAATGTGTGTATAAAATGTGTGGCCCATGTGATTCTAGGTGCAAAAAGCTTAATTTAAACTTCATCTACTTAATTATATTTGACTCTATATTAGATGTATTTCTGTAAACTATACATTATTCAATGTATGCAAAAATGTATTAAATAATTAAATAAACTGCCGACAGATACTTGTTTCTCTCTGATGTGTGATATTCTGCAAAAGTAGCTTATGTGATCTGTAGTCTACAAATGCACACTCTTGGTTGATTTTGCAGAGTGGAGGGTATGAATTAGTTATTGCTTGTTGAAGAAAAGTTTGGCTTCTTAGCAGTAAACAATGCATCTGTACAAGAGGGACCTGTGATATACAGTACACTTTACACATTTTGCTCTCAAGTTAATAAGATGTGTGCATGTATCATACTGATGCCACATATTGTAACAACAAAGCCAAAACTCAGAAACCTAAATGTACTTGTACTTTTAATACACTCCAGCCACACCTGCTAGTACACAAACCCGTAGATATGACAGGTGAAAGTTAACATCTCCTATTTTAAAGCTAAGACTCTGCAGTAAAGAATCACAATAAGGATGTGTGAGCTCTCCTCCTCTTTTCACACTGTACATTAATGAATGCAGAAGCTCCCAGACAAGTACTTATGTCATTAAATTGTCAGATGATACTATCTCAATAAGCCTGCAGCACAGAGATGACTGTCCCTCTGTGTACCACAAAGAGACTGATAATTGTGTTGACTTGTGTGACAGACATAATCTTATCCTAAATGTAAACAAAACAAAAGAGATAACACTTGTCCCTAGAGACCATGGGCCAGTCATAATTAAAACCACCAAGCAATACACAGTGAGAATATGTTTTGCTGGAATATTCACATTGACAAGTTGGAATAAAGCAAACTCTGAAAGTCAAACATCTTATACTCTGTATATACCAAGCACTTTGATCATATGTAGTGATTTTATTAATTAACAACCTATCTAACATTAACATAGTAACGTTGGACAAATGTAGTTAGACTGCTACGCTGACAGATACTTTGCGTTTTTGGCTTGATGCTTCCACACACCCTACGCGCTACGCTCTTCACACTACACCACATCACATATTTTTGATCCGTCTTTGCCAGAGCATTACCTCACTTACTTTACAGGACTTACCTGAATTACGTTTGATCATATGTAGTGATTTTATTAATATGAATCAAGTTCTGTAACAAACTATGTAACATTAGACAAGAATTACCAAAGCAAGTGGGATCATGTACAATTCTGAGGCAGGTTTCCTGAGTAAAACTCTGTAAGGAGGAAGTTTGTATGCAGAATGTAGAGCAAGGTTGTTTGGAATACAGGGGACACTCCTGAGGACCCTTTTTGACACAGTAGTGGCATCAGCCTTCTCATGTGGAGCAGTCTGCTGGAGAAGCAGCATCTTGACCATGGCCAGGAACAGACTAGACAAACTGATCAAGAGGTCCATGCTGCTGTAACTTTGCGAATTTCCTTGTTATGGGACTAATAAAGGTTTATCTTATCTCATCTAATCTCATCTCATCTCATCTTATTAAAGGCGTCTGTATTCTGTCAGTATGTCGTTCAGGTTGGCAAACCTAAGAAATTTGGGGTTGTACTGGACATTTATTTGCATACCAGCTTCCATTTCTATTTAGTATCAGTGATTCCACTAGAGGGAGATATTTAATCGCATTTGTGAAGACTTCACAGTGTAAAAGAAAACATCTTGAACTGATCAAGTGGCAGGTAAACACAAGTAAAGTTCCTCTATCAGCTTTACTTTCAGCGGTTGGTCTGTTTGTACAAGTCTGTTCCATCAGATTCATGCTTGCTGACAGTTTTCTATTTTTCTCCTAATTAAAACGGAGTAATCTGATTAAAAAAAAAATCCCCACATATCACCATTATAAAGGCAAGATGAGCCACAGCCAAAGTTTTAGTCATAGTTTGGATGCAGATGAATCAGTCCCTGGAGAAACATGACTGGAGTGAGTTGTTAGCTGGAGTTCAACAGTGTGCAGCTGTGACATGTTTTGGGGTGTTATAGTAACATTTGCTGTGACCACGTCTAACACCATCTTGTCTTTTTTTCCAAGTATCTTTTCTTGCACAGTTGCTGATGTCATGGGGCCTGTTTGTATTTTTAGAAAAAGCAACAGACACTGTATTATCAATTTCTTGAATTGTGGTCTCTGATAAAGGAAAATAAACTTCTACTACTGTGGTAAAGAGGAGACCTTATTTGACGTGAGAGGCCCCTTTACAATAACAATGTTTTGACTAACCGCCAGTGGAGAAACCTGCTGGAACTTGAGTGTGAAAAAGCATTCACGCATGTTTCAGAGTCTGAGTCAAAAACAGATAAAAAGGCAGCAGTACTTTGCTTGAGGTGATCTTCTTTCAAGGGAATGAGTTATTGACAATCCTAAAAGCCTGATGCCTTGGGTCTTAACCTGTCTGACAGTTCAATGTTGGTGTCTGTGAGTAGAGTAGTGCTCTGGTGGATTTCTGTTCCACTTGAGCTAATATTGCCTGGTCATCAACACATATTTCACCTGATATTCACACTGCCACTTTTGAATTTTGATAACATGTAATCTAAAGCCACAATGATTACATTATCAGCAGACCGTATAGCTGTGGTAGTAGCAGGAACTACAGTAGCAGGATTTCTGTAAAAGTAACTGACTAATCATTCATGAATGAAATCAGGGAAACATCAGCTGCTGCCCGAGGACAAACACCAGGCTTGAAATGTGTGGACATGTGCTGCACACATGTTAGAGGTGCCAAAACCTTTTTTTCTCTTTATGCATTTGTGCACAACTCCTGGTAATTTCTTTTCAATCAAGTTCATGAAAAAGGGAGTACAATTGTTTAACTAACACGATTTGTTTAAAAAAGAAGAAATCTCTTAAAATGCAAAAAGTTTTAAAGACTAGCCTGAGTATTTGGTACAAACAATTTGGGAGACAAATATCCAGTAAAAACATAAATATAAAATAAACAAAAAAAGTACATGTACATAAAGAAGCTGTTTAGTCGCAGTAACAGGAGTAAATGTAATTGGTTGCTCACCTCTGTTTTTTAAGAGAATCACTTACTTGAGGATGCAACAGGAACAAAATGAGCTCAGTGAAGTTTTCCAAACGGTTTCACATTCTTTGTGAAACAGTTTGTTTTTGTGGGACTGAGAGAGAAGGGAGTGGGGTTATATAGTTTTAATCATCTGAGGACAAGACCAAACAAGGACTATTCAAGTCCATTTCACTTTCATTTCTTTAAAGAAGCCAAGTTAAACTTTTAAGTGTAAGTTACTTTTTTTTTTAAAAAGATCATTCAGTCATATAAAGTTCCATCTTGCTCTTATTTACATCACTGTTTGTACAAATAAGTTACGACACACATGACTGCAGAATATGAAATATTTGAAGTATGAATATATGGAGTTTGATATAGTGTCTTCTGATGCCCAGTGCAGACCCACAGGGTTGATCATTATCAGTATTGACTGACAGGTGTCAGCCTCCCTCTGGTTGGTGGTTTCTGACTGTTTTGGTACAAAACAAGCTTGGGGAAGTCCTCAGTCTCCACATTAATTAGACCTGTATCTTTATGAAATTAAAGAATATTAATTGCAAGTACATAACTGTATCCAAAACTTCTCTCTGTTTATTAGAACATCACCACCACTACATCTAGAGGCCCACATAAGAATAACATAAAAGAAAAAGAACAATATTCTTTATTAAATGATTACATAAATGCAGCAATGGAAGAAAACCTCACAACATTTAACATTTCCACGCCATAAAAACACTCCATTATAAGTAAGTAAGTTATAAGTGAAAGTACAGAAATATTAGCAACAAAGCATTTTAAAAGCAGTAAAATCTCTCATAATGAAGAGTGGAATCTGTCAGTGTCATCTTATTATATTACTGTATCATTATTACCAAAGCATTACTTTTCTTTTGTAGACAACTGGAGCTGATGTTGAGTAATTTATAACACTGCATTAGATTTTACAAACTGATGATAACATTTTGTGAAATCTTAATTTGAAAAGTCACTATAGGTGTCAAATAAATGTAAAGTACATTTATCTCTACACAGCTTACTTAAGTAAATATACTGAGTTCCTTTCCACTGTAAAACGTCATACGTAGAGAGTTAGAGCTGTGGAGCACCTGCTCCGATGTTTTGCTTAATCAGTGAAAAGAAACAAACATAAGGGATTCTGTATGACACAAGATCTTGAAACAGAAATGTTTATAAAACAGGATACACTGACAAATTGCATGAGAGTTTTCATTCCACTAGTTATTTAGATGGTTTATACTTGTTCAGTCTCATCTTCCTCCTCTTCGTCATCTTCTTGATCTTCAGCATGGGATCAGCACATACGGGCTTATTCAGGCCTTTTATATACAGTCTGTGGATTTGCAAGAAAATTACGTTTCAGTTTTTAGAAAACAGAAAAATATACTAAGAATTGTTTATATGTAACCATAAATTGCAGTTCAGGCCTTTAATCAAATGTGTACACTGTGTCTGCATGTGTTGCACCCAGCGCTTTGGCTGAGCTGTTCATGTCACTGTCATTGTTAATCTTCTTCTATGTCTGGACAATATACAGAAGATAAATGAAGTATTTCATAACTACTGAATCCCTGGAACTGCTCATTGTTGATGTCCACAACTTACATCCGTGCAGAGATGTCACAGCCGTCGTGCTCATTCTGCTCAACCACTTTTTGAACATTCCTCAACAGTTGTGGATGGATGAAACGTTGTGTTTTGACACAGCATTTTGGGATGCCAGCTGCAGGGCGAGATTAAGATCAATTATAAGAACACTGAAAGAAAATATATTTTTTAAAATAATAATATGTTGTAACTGATAACCAGATTTTATTCTTAAATTTGTAATAGTCAGCTCCTGTGTCTCCTGTCAACCATGAGTTAATCCCCCAGGAAACATTTTTGGTAATGCAGAAAAAAAACATACTGTCCTGTCTTGTCCTGTACTGTCCTGTACTGTACTATACTATACTATACATTGAGTTTCAAAAATAAAACTAGAACTGTAAAAATCTCAAGTTAAACATCGGAAAAGGACTGAATGGGACTGAACAGGACTGAAAGTTTGTATTACAGGTATATTTGATCGGATACATCAGTAGAACGTTAACATGCAGAAACAGGTTATATAGTATCCCTCTTTTTTTAGGCTAAAGCCAACAACCATCTGGATAGAATCAATTAAAAACTGTGCCAAATGCTGACAATTAACTGGTTATTTACCACCTCTACAAGGCATGCAAGTCAACTGTTTACAACAGCACAACACATTTTCATTTGTTTGCACCACATTTTAAGAATATAAATAACAAAAGTAGTTTCTTGGTTTCAACATGAGTATGGGGTCCTTACCTTCAGTAGAGATGATGGCCACGGCACACAGACAGACAATCACAACTGCAACTCTGAGATCCATGGTGGCAGCCAGGGCAAATGATGAACTCTGTCAGTGCTGCTGTTTAAATACCGGCAGTGAACACACACACATACACACCTGTGCACCACCCACCCACTCACACACACGCCTGTGCACAACCCACGCACTCACACACACACACACACACACACACACACACACCTGTTCACAACTCACCCTCTCTCTCTCTCTCTCTCTCTCATACACACACACATACACACACACATACACTCACACACCTGTGCTCAACCCACCCGTCCCCACAGGCTCCCAGACCAGCCAGCGTCTTGCTGAAGGCAACAGGTTGCTAAAAACATACAAACACAGTTATAAAAGTGATGATAAAGTAACTAATCCACACGAAGTTAAAAGTCTTTGTGACGACGGATGTTACTTTCATTTTCTTTGTTCAAACTGCGAGCTGGATGAATGGTGCAGGTTTGCTTCTCTCAGACAGGTTCCAACAGGTTTAATAAGCACTCTTTAAAAATCTTGTGTGATTGATGTGTATTGAAATGCTACTTGGCAAAGGGCACACCCAGAATCACAGAAGATAGGATATATGTGACAGGTAAACAATTAAGGTCAAACGGAAACTTAATTAAGGTCAAAGGTCAGCTTAAACAAAGTGATGCAGCTCTTTAAAAGCATCAGTATCAAAAGAAAAGGCAGAAAGAAGACATCACATTTCATATTTAAAGTCTTCAGACAAATTAGAATATGTGACATGCTTTGGCCACAAATTCCTCAAAAGCTCATAGGACAAATGATTACAGGTATGGATAAAGACTTGACTGACATAAATTAAACCATGTCAACAAAAATATGAATCCTGTGGCAAACATTAAATTGATCTGACACTGCAGACAGTACAGAGAGACATTTCCAATTTGCCTTTTGGTCAGGTGTGGCTTTCAAACTCTGTTGCTTATTGTGCAATTTCAATGAGCGTGCAAGCCTTATGTTATAATTACTGGGGGAAAAGTATCAGACTGTTCCCCATGGGAATTCTGCTGGTGGCACAACTGGCACATGGACTTCTTGGGTGTTTATTTTAAAACTGTGCACATTAGTGATGTTATAGCAGTCAAAACTCACATATGAAAACAATTTCTATATGATGTTTGACTTACTTTTCCTTTGTGATCATGCCTTGAGTTAAATTTGAGCAATTTATCCTGAGGGGGGCATGAATGTGTGTAACAAATTTCACAACAATCTGCCCGATGACCATTTTCCTCAGAATCACAAATGTCAGCATGCTTGTGGTGCTAGAGGAAAGGTTAGGGGATCAAAATAGTCTCTGGGATAAATTCCTGATATCTGTACTAAATTTACTGAAATGTAGTAAAGGGCAAATATAAAATGAAAGGTGGGGACGGCCAAAGTCACTGTGGTCTTTCTGTTGTTTCACAAATGCCTGTATAAAATATTTCATGGCCACTAATCAAATGCTTATTGAAATATTTAAACCCAGACTGAAGAGGTGGGCCGACCAATTGCATCAGTACTGCAAAACTGACCAGTGTAAGTGTTTGACAGATGACAGATTTTGACATTAACAGCTGTTTCTATATGACACACAGCTACTGAATCAGTCAAAAATAGATAACTACCAAAATCTGCAAGGCTTTGTACCCTGTTCCAGCTGGATCTGAAACATCTGAAAAGAACATAAGCTTTCACTTATCACACACAAGACATGATGATTAGAATTTGTTTTCTTTCATCCACACAAATTGGACCTGTTCGTACACAACAAAGTTGTGTGTTAGAAAGAGATGAGTGAAAAGGCTGTAGCAGATGCACATCAATCAATTTGTGTGCTGGATTACTCTGTAAACAGTTTACAACAAGCATCTTGTAATTTACCTTTAAATATCAAATCTCAAGACTGGCCTTTGTTGTCCCATCTTGAACCGTATCCTCTGTTAACACTACATTTAGTTTTCTGTGAATGGAAGCTGTCTAATATAATTACAGAAGTTCAATTGATCAAAACTGATTAAATCATAATAATTACTTTGGGGGAATTCTCAGTAGTGATCTCTGTGGGGTAATAATACATTCCTTTCAATCATACTCACTTTCATGCACAGGCACACAAACACGCAGATGGAAGATAAACAAGTCTTATTAGTGCATATCTGAAAAAAGGGGTAATTATTCTGAGCCTGGGATGAATAACAACAAACAATACAAGGTTGTTTTTTTTTTGGCAGAGATTCATTTTATATTTTTCTCCCATTTTCAACATACAGTATTTCAACTACACAAGAAGTAACTGCTCAAGCATTGCTGTTCAGGTTTTTATAGGGATAACTAGCAGACTTCAATCTCCAACTTATTTACAGTGTTTTCTGCTATAACTTATTTGAACTCCGAGGGGTGTTACTGAATATCCCGTCACATAGACATTTCATTTACACTATGTGCATTAGTATATACATTTCTATGATGGGAACAAACATGAAATCTAATGTTTTCATAACAATTACTATGATTCCTCTATAGGATCTGGATAGAAGTAGCTAATCAGTAAACAAGTTAAAAGTAACGTTGTCTGTGAGAAGCTGTCCTTACAGATACAGAATTAGCACAGCAGTGGGGGTTAAGGGATAACAAAGTTTGACTTGGCATTTCGTTGGTTCAGGATTCTCAAGGTTAATAGAGGGACAGAGAAGATCTTCATTTCTGTTGCACTTGCAAGCTCTGAAGAAGGACCTCCACAGATGTAATATTAGTACTGAGTCTGTCCTCTGGTGG